GTTGTGTGTGTGTTAATCTATTTTTAAAATATATTTTAATTGATTTTAGAGAGGAAGGGAGAGAGAGAGAGAGAAACATTCATGATGAGAGAGAATCATGGATCCGCTGCCACCTGCCCTCCCCCTTCTTGGGGATCGAGCCCACAACCCGGGCCTGTGCCCTGATTGGGAATTGAACCGTGAGCCCCTGGTTCCCAGGTTTACACGCAACCACTGAGCCACACCGGCTGGGCTACAGGGATTGGTTGTAATTAAAGCCTCCTGCCCCGCCGTGTGCCGAGTCGTGACCCCATATTCCTCATGCTCTCGGAGTGAAGTCACACAGACGGAACAGAGTGTGACGGGGCTGTGAGGGGACCGTACACCACGGGGCCACACTTCCTCCCTTGCCCTGATGTGCAGACAGCCTGGCCAGTCTACGGGAGTGAAAAGGGGAGAAGATTAATGGCCTTGACCTGCGCCCCGAGGGCTCAGGTTTACAGCTAAGTCATGTTCCCCTGCTTAGGAGAGTGACTCATCCGCTGCCCAGGCCAGGGCCTCAGGTTGCCGAGGATTCTAGAAGAGGCGTTTCCGTGGTGGTGGTGGTGTTGTTTTATTGAGGGTTGTGTTTGTTTAAAATATTTTAAAAATATATCTGTATTGATTTGAAAGAGGAGGGAAAGGGAGAGAGAGATGGAAACATCCATGATGAGAGAGAATCATGGCTCAGCTGCCTCCTGCACGCCCCCTGCTGGGCATCGAGCCCACAACCGGGAATCCAACCAGTGACCTCTTGGAATCAACCGCTGAGCCACACCAGCCGGGAAAGATCCTTGCTCTTCAGGGAGGGCTTGGTTCCGTTCTTCGGTTCATTTCCAATTAGACAGAAAACAGAACTCTCCGGCGTACTCCACTCGCTGGTGTTGAGACGTGGAGTGTTGACGTCGGTAATGCCTTCAGAGCCAACAGAACAAATGCCACGTCATGCCCCGGTCGCTGTCATCCGATCATCGACGCAGGCAAAGCGAACGCAGAGTTTGAGCATTAAATTGCCATGAGTCAGCTGCAAGTAAAAGGGAAGGAAGGAATACTTTCCAGGCAGTAGAATTTTCTCCTACCAAGAGAAAATTAAAAAGTGGAGTAATACTCTAGAAATGTAGAAATGTACAGACACCACCACCACCACCACCACCCCCATTGGCTCAGTGGATAGAGCGTTGGTCCTCGGACATACAGACACCACCACCACCCCCACTGGCTCAGTGGATAGAGCGTCGGTCCTCGGACTGAAGGGTTCCAGTTTCGATTCCCGGTCACATGCACGTACCTCGGTTGCACATGTACCTGGGTCGGGGCGCATGCAGAAGGCAACTAATTGATGTCTCTCTCTCACATCGATGTTTCTCTGTCTCTCTCCTTCCCTTCCACTCTCTATAAAACTCAGTGGAAAAATATCCTCGGGTGAGGATGAACAAAAAAGAAAAGAAAGAGGAGTCTCTTTAAGCCGCCTGCAAACTTGCCGATACCTTGCATGACCGCCTCCCTGGGAGAGCTAAGCTTTCTGAAAAAAAGCAAGGAAAGTAAATGGCCGTGTCCTTCCGAGATCCGAATCTTTTCTGAGGAAACAGGCAGCTGAACGGGCAGACGGCAGCCTCCCCAGCAGGGTCCTCTTACCCGAGTGCATATTATTTTCAAATAGTTCTCCACGCTACAAGCGTCTCTGTGGTTTCCATTCAAATCCGCGAGCCGTTGTCACAGTTGTTGTCCCGATGCTTTGCTCCAGATGTGGCCGAGCGGTACTTCCGAGAGAGCCTGGCTCACCTGAAGGATGCGGAAGGGATGGGGAAAGCCAAGTTTCTCTCGGTTCAAGACGAATATTGCCATTTTCTGCAAGGCGCTGGGCAAGAGGAGGTGAGTGAGTTTGGGCCACAGTTGGCTGGTTATCTGCATGGGCGACCCAGTTGATACCCACAGGGCTACGCAACTCCCTTGCTCCGCAAGTATCCAGTAGGCGTCTACTTTGTGCGAGGTATGGATGAGTAAGGCCATGTGGCCACTGTCGGGCAGTGAGTTACATCATTTTCTTTCTTTTTTAATATATATATTTTTTTATTTCAGAGAAGAATGAAGAGGGGGAGAGAGAGATGGAAACATCAATGATGAGAATCATTGATCGGCTGCCTCCTGCACGCCCCCTAACTGGGGATCGAGCCCACAACGGGACACTTGTCCTGACCGGGAATCGAACCCTGACCTCCTGTGACATGTGTCCTGACCGGGAATCAAACCATGATCTCCTGGTTCCCAGGTCCACGCTCGACCACTGAGCCACACCAGCCGGCCTACCTCATTTTCTTAATGGGCACTGATCTTCGTCAGCTTTGGAACATGTTTAACCAGTCAGCTTTGTGTCCCTTTCGCAGAAAGCGACCTCCATCCTGAGGGAGTCCCTGGAGGCCAAAGTGGGGGCGTTTGGTGATCTCAGTCCTGAGGTGGCGGAGACCTACCGGCTCCTGAGCGGCGCCGACCTGGCGCAGGGGAACCACAGCGGGGCCCACAAGAAACTGAACAAGGTAAACCTGGAGCCAGCACCAATGCAGAGAGAAGCCCTCCTCCCCGCCTCCCCATGCTCTTTTTACTTTTATATTTTTAAAAATATACTTTGATTTCTGAGAGAATGGGAGAGGGAGAGAGAGATAGAAACATCAGTGATGAGAGAGAATCATGGATCGGCTGCCTCCTGCACACCCCACACTGG